GATGATTTGGAGGATCATACGCACGGAGTATAGAAAGCACCTGGTCACCATGCATAAACACCTGTTCACCATGCATCTATCTTCTTCGTAAGGGTTTTCTGTTTAAAATTCTTCTCCAATCAACTTCCCAGGAAAAGTCTCCTTTCATTTACAAAATATTCTTCTAGGGGGAACATCCAACAACATATTGAGCGTTAAAAGAATTCTGTTACAAGATTTAACATTGAAGAACCCCTCTTTAAAAAAAATTCTAGACTCACCCTCATCAAACATACTAAGTTTTACCTTCTTATATGTTATTTGTCTTTACTTTCAAATTTGGTTTTTTGGCTAAGAAGTCTGAGACTTGAAATGTTGTTTGCTATTAGGAATGGTTGTGATTGATGTGTATTTTATTGAATATTAGAAGTATATATGTATATATATATTTTCTTGGACGAAAAAGGAAATTGACAATTAATTACAATTAATTACAAAAGATGTAATTTTCACCTTTAACCTGATTTGTTTCCACTTTAATGCTTTGATTTATATTTTCTCTAACACTCTGATTTTTTTACTCTTTAACATTCTGATTTACTTTTTCTTTAACACTTTGATTTGTGTCTTCTTTAATACCATGATTTTCTTCCTCTTTAACAATTCCTTTAGGGTGATGGGATGTAGAAATGAAGGTTACCTTGTTGGTTTGGAGGTTGTGAAAAAACATTTGTCTTTTGGGATTTTGGCAGTAAATATCTTATTCCTATCTACATGGCACTCCTCAAAAAGTGGCTGTGCAAGGTGATTTTTTTTTAAAATTTTGAGATAAAAAAGATTATCATGTTAGAGAGGGCACCAAGGGGCTACTACCCATGTTCAAATTGAGGGATTTACAAAATTATCGAAATGGATATGAAGTCAAAATAAGAGTTTGATGTCCTCAAACTGAATACCTAGGATTTGGGACCATAAATCTAGATGCCTGCCAGAATACAATAAAAAATCATTTGAAGCCTTATTATTTCTCTCTTTGCAAACCATGGGATGATGGAAGTAAATTTTTTGTCTTGTATTGCTGCAGATTGCTTGCCAAGCCCAAATCTCATCCCTCACTCTGAATCTTGTCCTCATCGTTCCTGCCATCACTCAATTCAGACCCAGAAAGTCAGTAGTATTGCAGCACAATCTATAGGCATAGTGACAATGCTATTAGAGATGATAGGAGATTCATGATTGCTCTGAAGTACATAGCTTCCATTAGCCCAAAGATCTAGAACAAAGTGGGTTATGGAGAGACAGGAAATTGCTTGGAAGTTGGTTAAAAGGAGGGTTCATGGAGAAGTATCAATGCTAGATATGAAGCATTATTTAGTTTCATTTTATTGAGGCTTATGTCTGGTAGAAGGTTAAATTTGGAGAGACTGGCTGGTGTGGTCCCTATTGCCTCTCTACTAGTTAGGTTTGGGTTGGGGGGGAAGGAAGGTGTATTTCCCTAGCTTAGGCTCACTTACCCTACAGGCGAGATCATAGTTCCACTCGTTAAAATCTTATCCTTCTATATATTTTCTAGCCTTCT